TATGCAAATGGTTGTCATGCCCTCATGTGCCAGGGCCAGGGGACCTGAGGCCACGCCCCCCGCCTGGTGGGGCTCGATGGGGGTGGGGCCGGCTGGGTCTTGGTCTTGTGTGATTTTGAGGCGCATGCGGGTGGGCGGAGACTTGACTCTGGGTCCCATGGCGCTCCCCAGACTCTGACAGGAGAGAGCTTTTTATATACATTTTACTAATTTTCTTTCATCTCTGACACTTCTATTATAGAGAAAGGGCAAATAGCAATATTAAAATATTTCCTCTAATTAATTCCCTTTTAATGTGCATGAATTTCATTCACTGGGCCACTACTGTGTGTGTGTGTGTGTGTGTGTGTGTGTGTATTTAAAAAAAATAAATAAATGAAAGACAATAGAAAATATTAGAGTGCACTATATGAAGTACTCATTTGTAATTAAACATATCTTCTGGGTCAAGAAGGAGAATGTATTTCTTTGGTTTGTGGTTAAAAAGAAAAACCTGTGTTGGAAAGCCCTCGTGGTAAAGGCATTGGGTTGGCTGTTAGGATACGACCTGCTGCTATTACTTGAGAGCAGCATCCCTGACCTCCACCGACTCCATGCCAGTAGCACATCTCCCACGACCCGTTTCTGGCCAATTGGAGGCAGTGTCTGCAGATGTTGCCAAATGTCCCCGCAGGGGCGGAGTGTGGCGTGGGGGTGCTCCTGGTTGAGAAGCACTGGTCTAGACTGCAAAGGCCTTGCTCTGCTTTAAACTCCTGGCCTCCATCACAGGCCTAGTGCTCCATCCAGGTTCAAAGGAAGTCTGTCCAGCTCTGTCTGACAAGCTGACCCTGTGTCGTCCTGAGCCCCACCAGGGCCCTGGCCCGTTTGGCTCAGTGGATAGACTGTCGGCCTGCAGACGGAAGGGTCCCAGGTTCCATTCTGGTCCAGGGCACGTGCCAAGGTTGCAGGCTCAAACCCCGGCCCTGGTTGGGGCTTGTGGGGGAGCCAACCAATCAATGTGTCTCTCTCTCACATCGATGTTTCTCTCTCTGTCTCTCCCTCTCCCTTCCACTCTCTCTAAAAAGTCAATGGAAAAATATTCTTGGGTGAGGATTAACAAAAACAAAAACAAACAAACAAACAAAAAACCCAAACAAAATAAATTAATAAAATAAAGCCGCCATCAGTTACAGAATCAAGATCAGAGTCACAAACTGGTATTAGGAGACCTGGGTGCAACACTCGCCCGTCAGAGGCTCTGGGAATAAGTCTGGGCGAGTCGAGGCCCTTATCTCTGGCTCCTGGGGATGCACCTGTCCCAGCCACACCCAAGGGAGCTGGTGGAGGAGGGAGGGCGTGGC